CAAAGCTTTGTTGACATGTTTATTAAGAGTTGTGTAAGGAGAAGATTTTCTGGGCATGTGCAACCCAACTTTCCCATTAAAGCCACAGCTCCTCGACAGCAGGGAATTCACCTGTTGTTTGTTGCATCTTCAGTGCATATGATCATGACTAGTGTACATTCAGGGCTCTAAAGATGTTGTTCAGTAAGTGACTGCGAAGTAGTTATGGAGTACCACTGTGTGCCGAGCATGGTGCTACAGGTGTTTTGTTCATTTGGTGACCTAATGGATATTCTTTTATTGTTTTGACAAACATTTCAAGTAATTTGTGCCACATGGCCTTGTTGGTTGCATTATGTAAGTTGAAACAGTATTCTGCAAGGTAGGATCTTGTACCCTAGGGGTTACACAACAAACTGATCCATTGGCTTTTGGAAAGAAAATATTAGAGAGAGACAGGGACAGAGGGGAGGCACAAATATGTTTTTTTAAAGGTCCTCTGATATAGTCTGGCTTATTTTGAGTAGAAATGTCAGACACAGTACTTAATAATTCTCTTCATCCGTAAACCTAGGGCTCTGTGGCTGTTGGGAGAGTCAGAATGAGTCTATGATAAGATACTGCATTCTCAACACGAAAAGTTCTTCAAAGGAGGAGCTGTGTCTAATGGTATTTAAAGTAAAACATCTTGGGAGAAGGGAAAAATAGGATCTACTCTAAACTTTACCAAAATGTAATCACCTCTAGACTATTCAGTACAGTTTAGATGGTCTTCGTTGCTGCTGTTTTTAATCTAAAGCCTTGCCACAGGCACTGAGATGATTGGTGGGCCAGGTTTCTCTGTTATTTGGTCAGCAGTTGACCTGCATGTTTTTGGTAGTTTAATAGCACTTAAGGATCACACAGTGGGACCAACAGATAAAAATCACTGGGATTTTAGACCTTGTTCTGTCGTCCACATCTCTAAACTTTTTCATCATTTCTGCGTCTTTGCCTGTACCTCTCTCTGGGCTGCATTCTGGGTAGCTTCTTCTAATCTAGATTCCAATTCTTTTGTAAACTGAGTATGCAAGATTCTGTATTACTTGTCTTTTGAATTTCTGATGTCAGTGATCATAACTGTCATTTCTAGAACTTGTGTGGTTCTTTTCATATTATTTGTGGTCATATATAATGATTTCCCTCATTTCCTTCTCTTCTCTTGGGTTTCGTTCAGGTACAGGGAGGTTGCATTCTTGGCCCAAACCCACGTGGTCAGGTGTTCTCCAAGAAGACTTTTTTCTTTTTTGTTTTTGTTTTTGTTTTAGATAGAGTCTTTCTCTGTCATCAAGTGCAGTGGCGCGATCTCGGTTCATTGCAGCCTCCGCCTCCCAGGTTCAAGGGATTCTCATGCCTCAGCCTTCTGAGGAGCTGGGACCACAGGTGCACACCACCATGCCTGGCCATATTTTGTCTTTTTTAGTAGAGATGGAGTTTCACCATGTTGACCAGGCTGGTCTCGAACTCCTGACCTCAAGTGATCCACCTGCCTCCACCTTTGAAAGTGCTGGGATTGCAGGCATGAGCCACTGTGCCTGGCCAAGACTTTTTTCTTTTGTTCTATTTCACTGAGGACTTAATCCAAGATAGACAGCATCTGCATCTTCCCTGTATGGACCAGGATTTTTCTGCTTGCCTTTCAGGAAGTCCAGATTTACACAAGGCTCTCAGAACAGTTGTGCTGTCAGTCTTATCTCAGGCTTCTCTCCATCTCCAGGTCACCAGGGACCAATGGATGGTCAGGAGGCAAGCATGGACTCCAGCACTCACTCGCTGAGAGATTTTTTTTCTCCTTCCTGACCTTAGAGACTCTTCTCTTTATTTTCCTAACGGTTCAATTATGTATTGTAAAACATGCTTTTACTACACTTGTATTAAAAAGGAAGAGAGAAAAGTTTATATCTATGAATATGTACATATATAACTCATGTATACCATAAATATGTGTATGTATTTTGACTTATATATGCATTTTTAAAACCTCTGGAAGGACAAGAAACTAGTAAAGCTGGGGAAGCAGTAATGGAAACAGGCAGATGAGGGGATAGTGGTGGCAGATTTCTTTTATCAGACCTTCTTAATATTTTTAGTGATTTGAGCCATATGAGTATATTACCAGTTCAGGGGCTGAACGTGGTGGCTCCTGCCTATAATCCCAGCACTTTAAGAAGCCAAGACAGGAGGATTCTTTGAGCCCAGGAGTTCAAGACCAGCCTGGGCAATATAATGAGACCCCATCTCCATAAAAAAAAATTTTAAAAATTAGCCTGGTATGGTGGCATGTACCTGTCATCCTAGCTACTGGGGAGGCTGAAATGGCAGGATCGCTTGAGCCCGTGAGATGCAGATAATTATACCACTGCATGCCAGCTTGAGCAACAGAGCAAGACCCCGTCTCTCATATGTGTGTGTGTGTGTGTGTGTGTGTATATATATCCTTTTCAATCAATTAATTGTGTAATATAAACTTTTCCCCTAGCAGTCTAGATGTTCTTTACCCGGTAGGTTTCAGGCATCTAGTCTGCTATTTCGTTAGAATAGTGATTACTTTTGTGGTTATATGCATTTTAGATCATGGTTTTGCCCATCTGCTCCTCTAGATGAACTCTGTAGATCAATATTTTCCAAACTACCTATGGCAAAGCAGTTGTTCTTTAAAATTTCCCCAATCTGACTGGGTGTGGTGGCTCACACCTGTGATCCCAGCACTTTAGGAGGCTGAGGCGGGCAGATCACGTAGGATCAGGAGTTCGAGACCAACCTGGCCAACATGGTGAAACCCTGTCTCTACTGAAAATACAAAAAGTTAGCTGGGCATGGTGGTGCATACCTGTAATCCCAGCTACTCGGGAGGCTGAGGCAGGGGAATCACTTGAACCCGGGAGGTGAAGGTTGCAGTAGCTGAGATCACACCACTGCACTTCAGCCTGGGTGGCAGAGCAAAACTCTGTCTTTAAAAAAAAAAAAAAAATTTCCAATTTGCCATGAGCCAGTACTTTGGTAACTACAATAAAAATAAATTGCTGATCACATGCTTGATGTCATGGCAATGTTAAATTGCTATACAAGTTTCTACAAGGTTTCACTCAATTGTTTCTCACTTGCAAACCGGTAAAAAGCAACTACTGGATCAGACCACACTTTGAGTAACACTGTGATAGATGGTGCTCCAGTGTTTTCTGTTACTTGGTGTATCAGAAATTGATTCCACCCTGTTCTAGAAATTTCTTGTTGATTTTTAAGTTTTTCCATTGTAAACCTGGTGTGTGTGTGCGTGCATTTGTTCATGTGTGTGTAAAACTGTTTGTATGGCTTTATCTGAAACATTAGATATTTGCTATAGCACACACTTGCCTTAGTTAGAGACCAAAACCCGTGGCTAACTGGTCTGGGTAGTGGTACTGGTGTCCCTCCAAAAGTCACTCCCAGTTTAATAGTGGATTTTATCAAATCAAGATGTGTTGATGCAAGTATTTTTTGATCATCTGAAAGTTCTCATTGGTTGATTTTCACAGTAAGTCAGAGCTGCCATCTGGCTGGCAGCAATTGTAAGGTACCATTGATGTCAGAGATGTTAAAATGTGGAAGAACGTGTGTCTTAGAATATCTTGCAGATGGACCCATGACTGTTCTAGTGTCTAATTACTGTCGAATGCTGGAGACTTGTTTATGAGAAGTACTCGTCATGTATTTATGAGAAGTAGGAGGAAGCCTTCAGTGGCTTCCTTTAGAAACTTCACCACTATACTGAATGGCATCTTGTTGCGACAGCCTGATGTTAACTGGGGCACGTTGCCTGTTCTCCAGCATTGCTTCTTTCTTTTTTTTGAGACAGTGTCTCACTCTGTTGCCAATGCTGGAGTGCAGTGGCGCAATCTTGGCTCACTGCAGCCTCCACCCCCTGGGTTCAAGCGATTCTTCTGCCTCAGCTTCCCGAGTAGCTGGGATTATAGGCACCCACCATCACGCCCAGCTAATTTTTTTTTTTTTTTTTTTTTTTAGTGGAGATGGGATTTCACTGTGTTGGCCAGACTGGTCTCGAACTCCTGACCTCAAGTGATCCATCCACCTTGGTCTCCCAAAGTGCTGGGATTACAGGCGTGAGCCACCGCACCTGGCGTTGCTTTTCTCATTAGGAGCCTTGCTGTGCTGCAGCATCCTTGCAATGGACCAGCAGTGAGAATGTTGGCCATTTGGCCACTTATCTGTGAACCGGTGGCACTGGTATATCTTCCAGTGTCATTAATAGACATTTTTCTCATCCTTTAGTTTTTTTTCTTTCTTTCAGTTTCCTTCTGTTCTAGCCCTGCCATTCTGACCTTATTAATATTGGGAGTTCCAGTTGTCCCATTATCTTGCTTGCCGTGCACACTGCTTGATACTTCTTTTAACTGTGTATTATCTCCCTGCAAAGAAATTTATCAGAAAGTTCTGGTTATCCTTTCATAATTTTCTGCTGCAGACGGGGTTTTATTTTACCTGTTTTTATGGTTCTGTGGCCACTTCGATGGCAATTTAAGAGGAAGAGGAGTTAATCTTTGGGCTAACACTGCCATTTGTTTCTTCACCATGTATTTTATTGAAATGTCTGCACTGTGCCTGGCATAGTTCTGTGAGTACAGCAATAGTCAGAGAGTACATCATGGGTATTCAGTCTTTTGGCTTCCCTGGGTCACACTGGAAGAAGAGTCATTGCCTTGGGTCACATACAAAATACACTAACACTAACAATAGCTGATGAGCTTTCAAAAATCACAAAAATCTCACAATGTTTGGAGAAAGTTTATGAATTTGTGTTGGGCCACATTCAAAGTCATGCTTACCTGGTGCTACTTCCCTTCATGTTTAGATCTTCTTTTAGAAAGACGTCAACTTTTAAAAATCTTAACTTAGACTTTAGTGATTTATTGATAGCTTGTAAGTGCTTTGATTTGACACGAATGTATTCTATAGAAATAATTTTTGTATCATTTGCTTTTTAGCCGATTACACCTCAACAAGAAGGCGACTGACAAACAGCCTTATAGCAAGCTCCCAGGTGTCTCTCTTCTGAAACCACTGAAAGGAGTAGATCCTAACTTAATAAACAACCTGGAAACATTCTTTGAATTGGATTATCCCAAAGTAAGTACAGTGTTATGGTTTTTTGTTTTGTTTTGTTCCCCTCATGATGAACCATTAGTGATTTTAATACTGTAAAAGGTGAAGGTATTAAAAATTCATGATGAAGTTGGCCTCATAAAATATAAGCTTTAGTAGTAGTCATCACAGAACAGAAATGTAATGAGGAAGGGGTATAAATTCCCTTTCTAACCACCTATGTGTCCGTGTGAAGTAGAGATCCCTGAGTAAACCTGAAACTCAGACAATGTCAAGTGCCTGGTAGTTTGAAAATAAAAATTTTCTTCCATGAGAGTTGGATGTGAACAATAGGAAGAGGAGACAAGGAGAGGGAGAAAGCAATGTTAGTGGTCTGAAATGGGTTGCAGTATAGCTAGAACTCAACATGACTTCCTTGGAGAAACTGGCTTTGAGCCGAGAGTAGATTACAATTAGTGGTAAGGTAGGGTTTCATCTTACCTCATTTTTAATTTCCTTACTGTTCTGATTTTAATAGCTAATTGTATTGCTTATGCCATTTGTCTTTATAATCTGTATATCTATAAACTCAGTGTACTGCCTTAATTGGAGAACTTCCGGTTTTCTTGAGATGAAAGTATTTTTTTATCACTTTGCTTTAGTAGTCCACCTGTAGTTTCTTAGAAGAACTTAATATTCTTTGATTTTCGTACTTAGCTTTACAGCAGCTTTGTATTAAATTGCTTATTTGAGACACTGCTTTTGAAAGGGCATTTTGGTGGTAACAGGTCACTTGTGAGAAGAATGTGTCTTTAAGCTTCTACCCACTTGACTCTCAGTACGGTTTAATTTTCCCTTTGCAGTCTCTATTCACTTGCCTCAGTTTTTACCCTATTGCCTCAGTTTTTCCATAGCTATTTTTGCTGCTGGGGAGTCATCCCTCTTAAGTTTTTTGGACAGGGTAGCTCAAATAGTCAGAAGGAAGATGATACACACACTACACTTCTCATGGTGACTGGTTTTCATGCTCTTGTTTCTTTTCTTTTAGCCTTTATTTTTTTCGGTAGCACCAATGAAAAGAATAGAGAAGACACAGATGTGATAGCCTTAATGCAGCACTTATTAAGTAGGTGGACATGAGTATCATTCAGTTGTATTTTTAGTGTTTTTATATTACTGCTTTGGAGTTTGGGAGTTTAGAAGCCAATTTTGGAGTATTAAAAGCTGTTTTGAAGCAGAAAAATTGTATATTCTAGCTTGTATTTATATGTGTAATAATTTTAGATATTTGAATTAAATGTGTTAACGTCAATCAATTAAATACAGTTTTTAAAAAATAAGATATAATTGTATATACTTGTTTTTTCAGACTAAAAAAGTAAAACTTAGCCTTTTGTAATTCAGAAAGAAGGATATAAATAAAATTAATTGTAAAATAAGCTTTGCAGTAAGAAAACTGAAAGATTTTCAAGCTCTGTAAAAGTAAATGCAAAGGAGAATTAATGTTTATGAATGAAATTTTTCATTGATTATGAATGAATCTTAGAGCATAGCTTAGAGTCTTGTGCATTATCATTGTGAAGCTTAATCTCGCATTTCAGTTTTTAACTGTCCTCTTTCATTTTCCCCATTCAACCACTCTTAAAATTGGTTATGGAATTTTTATGTTGTGGTGCTTGTGAGACAATAGTCATGGGATTTAAATGCTTGAGGAAATTAGTGAGGGGTTTAGTTGTAGAAATAATTTTTTTTTTTTTTTAAGCCAGTATCTTGCTTTGTCACCTAGGCTGAAGCATAGTAGCGCAGTCATGACTCACTGCAGCCTCGGCCTCCCAGGCTCAAGCAGTCCTCCCACCTCACCCTCCCTAGTAGCTGGGACTATGGGCATGTGCTACCACACGTGGCTAATTTTTGTATTTTTTGTAGAGGGTGTTGCCATGTTGCTGGGGTTAGTCTTGAACTCCTGGGCTCAAGCAATCTCCCCACCTCAGCCTCCCAAAGTGCTGGGATTACAAACGTGAGCCACCATGTCGTACTGAGAGAATTTTTAAAAGTAGCCCCAGGGATATATGTATCCATTGATTACGAACATTTCTAATGACCCCATAACTGATTTATTGTGAACGAAGATTTTGGCCAGGCGTGGTGGCTTGTGCTTGTAATCCCAGCATTTTGGGAGGCTGAGGTGGGAGGATTGCTTGAGGCCAGGTGTTCAAGACCAGCCTGGGCAACACTGTGGTGAGACCCCACCTTCAAAAAAAATAAAAATTAAAAAATTGAAATAAAAACATTTTTTGGAAATTACAGTTTAGAATGATCTCAAGAGCTCTTGTTTTCACTTAGAGTAGTAGTTCTTTTTCCATTTAGTTTTATCATTTAAGTGGGTTGAGGAGAAAGCTATTTTGACATTCATTGTAAAATGAATAATAGTATCTGCAGATTATTTTATTCTTTGTTGGTACATAATTTTGTTTTCTAATTATAAAAGTATATTTAGCTGTATAAATAGAACATTTGGAAAGCAGAAAAGTGCAAAGTACCTGCAATCTAAGGGAAATGTTTGATCTCACAGCATTTTATTTACTTTGTAAAAACCAAATACAATGGCAAATGTTCCACAGGAGACTAAAGTTAAACCACTGAAATCACGCATATCTGAGTGTGAACAGACAAGGCATTTGTGTCACCACGAAGTCAAGGAGACACAAAATAAACATTTACGTGACTGCCAGGTGCAGTGTCCTTTCATATTTGCATTTTGCCTGGTATGAACATCGTTTTACCAGAGTATGGAAATGTTTTCATTTTGGACATAACTTTCTCTTCTCGTATTCAGTTGGGACCATCAGAGGCCATTTGGGGGAAATAATAGAACATATGTTGGAGTTTTAAAATTTTGTTTGATTTTGGACATGTGCAAGAAAATTTGCTACTACTGGTACTTGCTCTGAATTTCTAGGTTTCAATTTTTGTGAGACTATACTAGTTGCCCTGAAAGATCTCTGTGCTGTATACATCTTACAAATCTACTTTTGTACTGATACTCATTCCTTGGGAAGACATAAAAGAATGAAAAGGTGATGCAGTTCATTTTCCACAACATTGAACATTCATTTGTCACCAGCATAGAAAGGATTTGGGGAGAGATTAAGCAGTAGCAGGAATAGTCAGTAATCTGCATCTAAAGGGGCTTGATGGCTTTACTTCAGTACATTCTGGCCATGTGAAGAATACCTAAATTAACTATCAGAGTTATTAATAGAGTGAACCTATCATAACTATGATTTTTTTTTCTTTTCTGCAATTATAGAATTTATTTATTTATTTATTTATTTATTTATTTATTTATTTATTTTTCCTTTTGAAGCAGAGTCTTGCTCTGTCACCCAGGCTGGAGTACAGTGCCACAATCTTGGCTCACTGCAACCTCCACCTCCTGGGTTCAAGCAATTCTCCTGTGTCAGCCTCCCGAGTAGCTGGGATTACAGGCGCATGCCACTACCCCTGGCTAATTTTTGTATTTTTATTAGAGAGAGGATTTCATCGTGTTGGCCAGTCTGGTCTTGAATTCCTGACCTCAGTTGATCCACCCACCTCAGCCTCCTAAAGTGCTGGGATTGCAGGTGTGAGCCACCATGCCTGGCCTGATTTAACAATTTTAATACAGGGATTCTTAGCAAATAAAATATCTGATCAAATTGTGAAGACACAGAGCTGAGAGCTAAAAAATGATTCCTGGTTAAAAGCTGATACTTTAGAAAATACTTGGAATGCTGCCTCCAATTTGGTGTAATTTCCAATATCAAAAACAAATGAATCTTACGTATTTGAGTCTGAACTTTTTTTTGGATAATATGAATATGAGTCTCTTTTACGCTCTGGCTAATCAGAAAGTATTTGCTTTTAATTAAAAATTGTGTTTAAGCACTGTAATCAATAAAAATTAAAACTTTTAACCTTGCATCTGAATAAAGGCAGACTGTGCCTCCCTTACTTACGACCTCCCTACTTAACACTAGTATAACATTTTTCTTCCCATCGAGTATATTTCTAGTACTATAGTTTTACAAAGTTTTCTCTTGCTGGGGAAAATAAAAGCTAAGATTAGTTTTTTATTGTACTTTATGGAATTGTATTACTTATAAACATTTCCTTTCATTGTACGCACTCATACTTACAAAATAGCATTAAAAAGGCATTAAAGGCTGGGCATAGTGGCTCATGCCTATAATACCAGCACCTTGGGAGGCTGAGGTGGGCAGATCACTTGAGCCCAAGCATTCAAGACCAGCTCGTCGTCTGTACTAAAAATACAAAAATTAGCCAGGTGTGGTGGTACATACCTGTAGTCCCAGCAGTTACTAGGGAGGCTGAGGTGGGAGGATTGCTTGAGCCTGAGAAGTTGAGGCTATAGTGAGCCAAGATCACGCCACTGCACTCCAGCCTGGGTGACAGTGAAAGACCTTGTCTCAAAAAAAAAGCATTAAAGAAACTATCCTATGTTTTGGAAAACAAGGAACTCTTTCGAGTAAGCCTTGCTGAGCAGCCTCCTATAGTAGGAAAGCTCATTGTTACTTTTGTCCTTTGAAAAGTCACTTAACCTCTCTAATCATTATTGTGAAGGTTGTTGCCTTTTTGGTGGCTCAACCAAACATTGTTTTGCGAGTCTGAATGGGAGGCTGGCTGACACTTTAGAGTCAGCTGTTAAGGAAATTTCAGGAGGATGGTAGAAGTAGGGCCCTTTCCATTTTCAGATTTTATCTGATCTCTGGAGACCAGGTAACTGTCAAGTTGGTTTCAGTACCTCTTGCGTGGCAAGTTTGGTCAGTCATTAGAGGTGGATATTGGATAGAATATATAATAACAGCAGTAGGTAGGTAGAAAGTACGAGGAGAATATACATTGTTTTCCCCATCAACTTAATTATTAAAACATGTTTTTCATTTGAAAAAAAATCTTGCTAGCTAAACCTTCTTTGTTAACTTTAGTCTTGGTTCTTTTGTGATCAACTGCAAATTTCTTTGATTTTTATTTTTATTTTTTTTCCCCGAGACAGTTTCACTCTTGCTGCCCAGGCTGGAGTACAATGGCGCGATCTCAGCTCACTGCAACCTCCCTCTGCCTCCTGGATTCAGGCAATTCTCCTGCCTCAGCTTCCCAAGTAGCTGGGATTACAGGCGTATGCCACCACACCTGGCTAATTATTGCATTTTTAGTAGAGATGGGATTTCACCATGTTGGTCAGGCTGGCCTCGAACTCCTGACCTCAGGTGATCCACCCGCCTGGCCTCCCAAAGTGCTAGAATTACAGGCATGAGCCACCATGCCTGGCCCACAAATTTTTTTATTGACAATTTTTGCTGAGATTATAGTTAGTGGGCAAACTATTGTTATTATGCTCAAAAGCACTATAAACATTTTATTTCTACTTTTTACTTGTGTGTGCTTATCAGTGAAAGTAAATATAACAGACTTTGTCATTCTCTTGAGTTAGTTGGCTTTGTTATGTTTTCATGGACATAATTAACCTCCCTTCTGTGCTTAAAAATGTTCAACCAGTTTTATGTTGTCGTCTTTTTGTTTTGTTTTGTTTCTTGAGATTGTGTCGCAGCATGCTGTCACCCAGGCTGGAGTGCAGTGCTGTGATCTGGGCTCACTGCAGCCTCCGTCTCCTGGGTTCAAGTGATTCTCCTGCCTGAGCCTCCCAAGTAGCTGGGATTACAGGCATGTGCCACTACACTTGGCTAATTTTTTGTATTTTTAGTAGAGACAGGGTTTCACCATGTTGCCCAGGCTGGTCTCAAAAACCTGACCTCAAGTGATCCACCAGGCTTGGCTTCCTGAGGTGCTGGGATTACAGGCATGAGCCACCGTGCCTGGCCATTCAAACAGTTTTAGAAAAGATTTGGTAGGAAGTTTGTCATTGAGTCAACATGTATTTATTACCACTTCTGGAAAAAAAAAAATCGCTGCTTAGAATACATATCCTACAAATAATAGAGTAATATTTTTGTATGTTAAGGACAAATACTTAAAAAATTTAGTTGTTGGCTGAGCACAGAGGCTCACGCCTGTAATCCCAGCACTTTGGGAGGCAGAGGCAGGCAGATCACAAGGTCAGGAGTTCAAGACCAGCCTGGCCAATGAAACTCCGTCTCTACTAAAAATGCAAAAGTTAGCCAGACGTGGTAGCGGGCATCTGTAGTCCCAACTACTCCTACTTGGGAGGCTGAGGTAGGAGAATCAATTGAACCCGGGAGGTGGAGGTTACAGTAAGCTGAGATCATGCCACCGCACTCCAGCCTGGGCGACAACGCAAGACTGCATTTCAAAAAAAAAAAAAAAGTTGTTAATGGAAATTTAGGGGTTCAGCTCAGGATTTTATAAATCTGGCTGCATGTCAAATCACCCCAGAGACTCAAAAGTCTAGAATAGGGTCCAATTCTCTTTTTAAAATAAATGCCCCAAGGAATTTTTTTTTTTTTTTTTTTTTTTTTTTGCGACAGTGTCTCGCTCTGTCTCCCAGGCTGAAATGTAACAGTCTTTGGCTCACTGCAGCCTCAACCTCCTGGGCTCAAGCAGTCCTCCCACCTCAGCTTCCCAAGTAGCTGGGACCACAGGCATGCCTCACCATGCCCAGCTAATTTTTAAAATGTTTTGTAGAGACATGGCCTCGCCTTTTTGCCCAGGCTGCTCTCGAACTCCTAGGCTCCAGCAGTCTTCCCACCTTGACCTCCCAAGGTGCTGGGATTACAGGCATGAGCCACCTTGCCCAGCCCCAGGGTAATTTTGTCACAGCTAGGCAAGTGTTAAGAAATGCCTTTCTTAATTTACTGTTAAAAATCTAAACATAGCACTGGGCAAAATAAAGTTGTGGGTATTTTCATAGTTACAAGACTAAACATTCATTTAAAGATAGTAAATGTCCATTCAAATCAAATTCTGTTTTGTTTCAAAAAGTTATAAAACAAAAAAGTGTAATCTTACTTTGTCCTTTTCATGTGATGAATTTGGAAGGGCCCTTTAAATTTATATAATTTGATTTTATATGAAATTTGTTGTACCTTCATGAAATAAGTGTAGAGACAAAGCTTCTACAGAGAGGATGTGTTTATTTTGCTTCCTTTTAATGTCACTTTTTACTCTGCTAGGCACCCTGTGAGCAGTTAGTGAATCTTCAGTAGTGATGGCCATGGAGAAGCCTGAGATCCAGTTAATTCGTAGGAGATTGCTATCTGGGAATGGCAAGACTGCAGTTGTGGGCACTGCCAGTCTCTTCCTTATTTCTTCTGCTTGCAGATAGGCTCCTAATCAGGAGAAGCTTCATTCCATTAAAGCAACACTTGTTATCATAAGTGTTTGCATCCGTTGTGAATGCTGTCTTTTAAAACTTCGCATAATAAACTTCGCATTGCTTGTTTATTCCTGTGCTTTTTGTTCAATCAATAAATGCTAGTAAGTGCTTTTTTGTTTTTTAAAGAATTTAACTTACATACAATGCTTTTTGACTAGTATGAAGTACTCCTTTGTGTACAAGATCATGATGATCCAGCCATTGATGTATGTAAGAAGCTTCTTGGAAAATATCCAAATGTTGATGCTAGATTGTTTATAGGTAAGTAAATTCTGTAGTAACCATTTTCCATTGATAGTGTAAAGTATCAGTAATCTCTGCATTGAACTGAAGATTAAGGTGTTAGCCATGTTTGTTTTAAACATGTTTGGTGGAGTACTGAAAGATGTTTATGTCCTTTTGAGAAAAGTTATAAAAACAAAGGTTTTTTTTTCATAGATGAACAAAGTCACACAAAAATTAATATTTTTCCCATTAATCAGACATGAGGGTCTGTTATTTTTTGTTTCTTCAATATTTTAAATGTGTGGTGTTTTCTGTATCTTATTGACTATAATTGGAGTGAATGATATAATTCACTTTTATTATATTACAAGAAGGGTATTTTTCCAATAGCCTACAGACTTATTTGAAAGACTTATTAAGGTGTGTTTGCCCTTAATTTTTTTTTTTAACATAGAAGTGATGTGATCTCTCTAGAAAACAAGTAAGTCATGTATAACGATACCAGATTGTTGCTATTTGAAGATAGAGCAATGATTTAAATTTTTTATTAGTTTAAAATGCAATTTTGAAAATTAATGTAAGTGTAGCACGCCTGCAGATTGATCAGGACCATTACAAATCTATCAGCTCATGGTCAGAGATGCTCATTCTTCACATGTGCGATCTTAAACTATTTACTATCATATATTTATGGGGTTTTTTTTTGTTTTTTTTTTTTGAGACGGATTTTTTGCTCTTACCACCCAGGCTGGAGTGCAATGGCGCGACTTCAGCTCACTGCAACCCCTTCCTCCTGGGTTCAAGCAATTCTCCTGCTTCAGCCTCCTGAGCAGCTGGGATCACAGGCGTGCATCACCACGCCCAGCTAATTTTTTTCTATTTTTAGCAGAGACAAGGTTTCACCATGTCAGTCAGGCTGGTCTCGAACTGCTGACCTCAGGTGATCCACCTGCCTCGACCTTCCAAAGTGCTGGGATTATAGCCTCCCCAGTAACTGGGATTACACTCATGTGCCACCACACTCAGCTGATTTTTTTGTATTTTTAGTAGAGATGGGGTTTCGCCATGTCAAATTGATCTCGAATTCCTGACCTCAGGTGATTCACCCCCTGTCGACCTCCCAAAGTGCTGGGATTACAGGCGTGAGCCCATGGTGCCCGGCCATGTGTATTTATATTTAATATGTCTTTATTAAATATAATCTCACTGTATTTATGAATTTATGCTGTTTTAATTATAGCTTCAAAATGATACCTATAGCTTTTTTCCTTAGGATTATTTTTTAAATTGACAAATAAAATTTGTATTTATTTTTGGTGTACGGCTTGATGTTTTGAAATATATATATACATTGTGGAATCGCTAAATTAAGTTGATTAACATATGCATTTCTGCACATATTTATTCATGGTGGGAAATCTCTCTTAGCAGTTTTCAAGTAAACAACAACATTATTGTATACTTTCTCATGCACTTATACTGTATTTGTGGTGAGAGATCTACTCTCAATCATTTTCAAGTATACCATATATTGTTGTTAGCTATAGTTGCCATGTTGTACAATTGCCGTTAAATATTGACTCATACTTAACTACTAAGGCAGGGACTTAAGAATTAGAAAAAGTGAAACAGTGAATTTTCAAAGGTAAATGATACAGTTTTCCTTTTGAGAATGGAGAGTTTTTTCCTAAATATATTATTATGAATAATAGAGAATGTTACATAATATGAAAGTATGTTTATTTGAATTGTTAAGTATGCAAGTACTTTTCATATCTATCATGTATCTTTATACTATATTTTTAATGTTACATAAATCTTTTTCTATTGTATCTTTACATTTTTAGGTGGTAAAAAGGTTGGCATTAATCCTAAAATTAATAATTTAATGCCAGGATATGAAGTTGCAAAGTATGATCTTATATGGATTTGTGATAGTGGAATAAGAGGTGAGGTTTTTTTCTTATTTATTTTATGAAACTATTAATTTGAAGATAAAATACTAAAAGCAATCTGCAGATACATTAATGAGTTCTTTTTATTTGCCTGAAAGAGTAATTTATTTCATCATTATTTCATGGTGATACGTCCAGTTAATGCTTACTAAGATTTTGATTTTTTTCATCCTAAACTAGAATGTTACATGTATTAAAATGTTTTCATTTTGAAGAGAAAATTTCAACCATTAAATTAAAAATGGTCGTGGTTCATTATATAATCTACAAGCTTTCCCATGGGTGTAACTTTTCCCTTGTTTGCCTGACACTTATCTTTAATGTGTTTTGGCTTGCATAATACACTGTCTCACAAAGGGACAGAAATTAATAGGTGCATATTTTATTAGAACACATACACTTATCGGACTATACGCATGACTTTTTACTTAAATGATTTTAGCAAGAAGCCTTTCATATACTGAAATTATAACTTGCATTTGTGAACACTTATAATAGTTTCAGTGTTCTATAATATTTTGTTACATTCTAATTGCCTTAAGTTTCTTAACCCCAATACTATTCACATCTTGGGCTTTGTTGTGGGAGCTGTCTTCTAGGATGTTTAGCAGCATCTCTGGTATCTACCCATGCGATGCCAGTAGTACCCCCTTCTCAGTAGTAAAAGCAAAAATATCTTCAGATGTTGCCAGATATCCCCTGTGGGGCAGAATTGCCCCCAGTTGAGAAGCACTGACCTAGAATGAGTATTTAAGGTCCAAATACAACTTCTCTTTATACAGTAGATTTAGTTCTTAAAGACTTGGAGGAAATGAAAAATAAAGTCATGTAAAAATGATATGAGATGTTTGCTATTTAAAGATTGGGCAATAATTTAAATATTTTGTCAGCTTAAAATGCAAATTAGAAAATGAACATAAACGTCGCACTCCTATGAGTTAATCAGGACTATTACAAATCTATCAACTCCTGGTCAGAGATGATGTTCCTTCTTCATATTTGCTATCTTCAATTATTCACTATCATATGTTTTTCAGTGTACAGATCTCTGTTCAATATAATCACATTCCATTCCGGTGTGCAAATCTGATACTCGCAGAGAAAGTAGTCTCATTTCCTATGATTGGAGAGTAGAGAAGCCAGCACGAGAACTGAGGTCCTTTTACCTCTGCTCCTGAACCTTTTCCACTAGGACACATTGTCCTTACTCCAATTTAGAAGTTCTGACAGGGGGGTAATCTTGTACTAAGTATATTCTGCCTCTAGTACGTAGTAGGTATATACTTTTCTTTTCTTTTCTTTTTTTTTGAGATGGAGTCTCGCTCTGTCGCCCAGGCTGGAGTGCAGTGGCGCGATCTCGGCTTACTGCAAGCTCTGCCTCCCGGGTTCACGCCATTCTTCTGCCTCAGCCTCCCAAGTAGCTGGGATTACAGGCGCCCGCCACCTCGCCCGGCTAATTTTTTGTATTTTTAGTAGAGACGGGGTTTCACTGTGTTAGCCAGGATGGTCTCGATCTCCTGACCTCGTGATCCACCCACCTTGGCCTCCCAAAGTGTTGGGATTATAGGTGTGAACCACCGCGCCCGGCCGGTATATACTTTGCTCAAAGTATATTCTGCCTCTGGTACATAGTAGGTATATACTGGGCTAAAAAACGTATAAATTAGCTTTCAAGAATCAGGCCCTTTTGAAATTTTGTATTCTTCTCAGAAAGGTGGTAGAGATTCATTTTATTAGAGCCATATGTTTAAAATAATGTTTTTATTAAGAATTTAATAACAATTCACCAAATATATTTTATATTAGTGGGCATTCTACTAAAAAGAAATTTTCTTTTCTCCCCCTCTCTGCCTTTTTTTTAAATTGTAGTAATTCCAGATACACTGACTGACATGGTGAATCAAATGACAGAAAAAGTAGGCTTGGTTCACGGGCTGCCTTACGTGGCAGACAGACAGGGCTTTGCTGCCACCTTAGAGCAGGTGAGTATGGTGGTTATAAATCATGTTCGTGGTATCAGCCTCCTCATCTCCCAGAAGCTTGAGACTATGGGAGCAGGAATTAGGTATCTCAAGTTAACTGTATTAAGTCCATTTCGGAACCTGCTGTGTTCTAGAAGCCCTGAGTTTAGAGCAGCTGTTTTCATTAGTGAGGAAATTCTTGGGCCCCTGACTGTACCCTGGCAGTGAACAGCTGTGCTCAGGAAATGCCTGTGGTCTTATTGCCAGCTGAACAGTTTAACCTCCTGCCTTGTAGTATTCACTTCCAGTTCTAGAGTTCAGTTCTTCATATTGTTCTTTCAAACGTCCAATCTGAAAAGAATCGCTGCCCCCGGCTTTTTTTTTTTTTTTTTTTTTTTTGATGGAGTCTTGCTGTGTTGCCCAGGCTGGAGTGCAGTGGCATGATCTCGGCTCACTGAAACCTCCACTTCCCAGGTTCAAACGATTATTCTGCCTCAGCCTCCCAAGTAGCTGGGATTTCAGGTGTGCTACCACGCCTGGCTAACTTTTGTATTTTTAGTAGAAATGGGGTTTCACCATGTTGGCCAGGCTGGTCTCAAACTCCTGACCTCAAGTGATCTGCCCGCCTCAGCCTCCCAAAGTGCTGAGATTAAAGGCATGAGCCACTGCTCCCAGCCCTGAAAAGAACCTTTTTAAAATATCACAAAGTATTTCAAATATACAGAAAATAAAATTTATTCATACAAGTCCTTATAAAACCCATTTGATGTCCTTTTAAAACATATTTCTAATAATTATCTGAGAAACTTATGTTTTCATTTTATTTTTTCTCCACCTTAGAAATAGTAACATGCATAGGAAACTATAAATAATGGAAAAGTATAAGATGCAAAAAAACAAAAACGAACAACCTAGAACCCTAACAATTACAGGAAGTTTCTGGGTTTTTTGGGGTTTTTTGTTTTTTGGGGGTTTTTTTGTTTTTTTTTTTGAGATGGAGTCTCGCTCTGTCACCCAGGCTGGAGTGTAGTGGCACTATCTCGGCTCACTGCAAGCTCTGCCTCCCGGGTTCACACCATTCTCCTGCCTCAGCCTCCTGAGTAGCTGGGACTACATGTGCCTGCCACCATGCCCGGCTAATTTTTTGTATTTTTGATAGAGACAGGGTTTCATTGTGTTAGCCAGGATGGTCTCGATCTCCTGACCTCGTGATCTGCCCTCCTCGGCCTCCCAAAGTGCTGGGATTGCAGGCGTGAGCCACCGTGCCCGGCCGGAAGTTTCTGTTTTTAAAAATAAAGGTTTGTTGTATCATTTGGGCACTTTGGAGTCTTTATTTTTCCCCCCTTCCTGGGCTCTTTAGAAAACATTGTTGAGATAGTATTCTAAAAGTAATCTGTATCTCATTTTTGTGACTTTGTAAGCTTTTCCCATATCATTAATAGCTTTTTTATTGGCTGTATTGTAGGCTATCCTGCGTGTGTCCTATGCTTGAGTTAATCATTCCTGTACTGTGAAACCTTTGGGAGGAAAAATTTGTTGTAATATTACAAGGACAGATACATGATTTCAGTCTTTAAATATGTCAACTTGCTCTTAAGCATATCTGCATTTATATTCTTTTGAATTGCAGTCTTATGATTGCCACATATCTGAGGGGGTAAAGGTACATTGTGGGAACTTGCCTGTGACCTTTGGCAATTTGAACTGTGAGCTCTTTCTTAATATTGCCTGTAAATGTATTTGTTCTACTGCAAGAAATTGTTAGTCTTAAATGCCAGAATCTTTGTTTAGAAAAAGAAACTGAGTAGCCGCTTTAAAATAAAATACAATCTATTCTAATATACCAAATTGTATTTTTGTCTTAGAAATATCCAAATTGGTATAGATGTCAATAACATCTCCATGATGTATATATCAATACACATCTCCCAGAATACACCCATCCCCTTAGTGTAGGTTTAATCTCTGGCAGTCACTCTGCCATACTTAGAATGAATCATTCTCAGCTGTAAAGAAATCCTGGGCGCATTCAGCTCAGTGACTAACAGCTCATTCCTAAGACCTCAGTAACTGCTAAGGAATTACGATGTGTGCCTCTGTTCTTAGAAGCCAGGTTCGATTCAGTCCTACCAACACAAGGACTTCACTGGAGTCTGGGTTCAGGGTAGGTAGCAAGAATCATAATCTTAATTGCCCCTTAGAATTGTCTTGCTCTGCACTGTGTGTGTAACTCCAGACATTGAGAAAGATCACTACTGTTTATTTCAGGCTACTTAGAAAAGGCAACATATCTGAGGTGTAAATAATAAATAGGATTTTATGTCTGCTAGGTAGGGTAATAACAGTCCTTTTCTACCATTGATTTATCAGCTTATGTATCTTATGACTTCAGAGTATATGTAGAGAAATGGCAGTAGGGGATGAGAGAATTTTAGTATCCCCCTTATGAAAAATACATTGAAAAAAATGAGGAAATTGGGAAGAGTCTTAGTGACTAAGGGAGAGGGAGCAGCTAGCTACAAAAGGATGCAAGAAAAGGAATTAAGAAATAGGATTGTGTCCCCCGCGCCCCCCCCCAAAAAAAGAAATAGGATTGTTCTGAAGGTTGATAGACCTATGGGTGGTATGTGTATGCATGTATGTATATATAAACACATATATGTAACATACAAATATGTATATTGATCCAAGTAAACAAAGTAGATGTGTGTGTATATTTACATGAACACCCTAAAAATAAGATACATTCAATATTTGTTCATCTTTTGTATGTCAATGAGTGATATTTTTACCTTATTTGGTATCTAAATTAAGTTTTATTTGGATGCATTTTTAGATTACTAAGTGTGCTTGCACTATGAAAGCAATATTGTATACCACTTTGTATTCAGGTAATTTACATAAGAATAATAAGATATTCATTCGATCATACTTTTAAAAAACATTGGGAAAAACAGTTCGTAAACACCATACTTTTAACATGAAATTCTAATCGTACACATTTGTGGTTTTTTGGGCAGGTATATTTTGGAACTTCACATCCAAGATACTATATCTCTGCCAATGTAACTGGCTTCAAATGTGTGACAGGAATGTCTTGTTTAATGAGAAAAGACGTGTTAGATCAAGCAGGAGGACTTATAGCTTTTGCTCAGTACATTGCCGAAGATTACTTTATGGCCAAAGCGATAGCTGACCGGTAAGAACTAAATGAAGCCATAGTGTTTTTATTACGTAACTTCTGTTGGTTTATTCTTTTTGTTCAACCTGTAGATTAGGGCTTTTTAGTTTAATTTTATTTTTTTGCTAGTAAGTACAGAATAGGTCAATTTGAATTTTTTTATTTTTGTTTTGGAGACAGAGTCTTGCTCTGTCACCCGGGCTGGAGTGCAGTGGCGCAATCTTGGCTCACTGTAGCCTCTGCCTCCTGGATTCAAGTGATTCTCGTGCCTCTGCCACCAGAGTAGCTGGGACTACAGGCATGTACCAGCACACACAGCTAATTTTTTTATTTTTAGTAGAGATGGGGTTTCTTTTGTGTTGGCCAGGCTGGTCTTGAACTTCTGACCTCAAGTGATCTGCCCACCTTGACCTCCCAAAGTGCTGGGATTACAGGTATGAGCCACCACACCCAGCAGATCAATAATTTTAGAGAGTAATTCATATTCTAATTATAGAATTGTAGGTATGTACTAATGAAGAAAGTAAATGTTGTGATTCCTCTGCATTTTTCAAATTAATGTGTTTTAAAGTGATTAAAAGGAAGTTTCTTTGTCATTAGAATTTTTACTGTATAGATATAAATTTCTGTGTTTTAGAAGAGTTAAAACTATCAGTGCAGTCATAAACCAGTAGGTGAAAATTTAAAGACTGTCTTTTCAAAATTTGAAATTTGTCAGTGAATTATACGATACTTTGCTAAGAAGCCACTGAAAAATTCATATGACTGACTTAGCATTTCTCTATCACAAGATACTTGTTTTGTTTTTTTTGAAACAGAGTCTCTCCCTGATGCCCAAGCTGGAGTGCAGTGGCACAATCTCGGCTCACTGCAAGCTCCGCCTCCTGGGTTCAAACGAGTCTCCTGCCTCAGCCTCCCAAGTAGCTGGGATTATAGGCGCCCGCCACCACGCTCAGCTACCTTTTTGTGTGTGTTAGTAGAGGCGGGGTTTCACCATTTTGGCCAGGCTAGTCTTGAACTCCTGACCTCACGACCCGCCCACCTCTGCCTCGCAAAGTGCTGGGATTACAGGCGTGAGCCACGGCACCCAACCTAAAATACTTGTTTTTAAAGGGGATCACTGCCTTGTGTGAGAATTTTTTTTTAATTTTTAAAAAACTAAAGTGTGTTTTAAATAAAAATTCTGTCGTGATTGTGTTAATGTGGTTCATGGTTTCCTGGTGTCTCCCATGAGACCCATAATGCCACTTTCTGTTGACATGTCTTGTTGAATATTCACACAACTTTGTTTATTGTTTGGTTAATAGTCATCAGAGACTCATCCATTAAATATGGAACCTCTCCATTGTTTTTCCAAATGACTGCATTTTAAGTTTCTTAAACTGTAAAGTAAGGAGGGTACAGTTTCTTCTAGTTCTTAGATGGTGCTGTCATGGTCTAGCGTAATTGCTGAAACATCCATACGTATGGTAGACCTTAAGTAGTGTGCTAATCCTGAAAGCTGGGCTCACCCTCCATCCCGGCAATTGCCTGGTCTTTATAATGATTACTGAATGCATAACCAGTTACGCTTGCATGTGTTCATCATAACTTACTTTCTAATTGTGTTAATTTTCAGAGGTTGGAGGTTTGCGATGTCCACTCAAGTTGCAATGCAAAACTCTGGCTCATATTCAATTTCTCAGTTTCAATCCAGAATGATCAGGTAAATCAACTGTTTTTTTTTTTAATACTTCGTTAAAAGGAAAGGTGGGGTGGGGGGGTTAGTAATTTTTACAGGTTTAATGTAGTTAAATAAGTATACCTAAAGGTTAGATTTTTGTTTAGTTCCCGAAAATAGAGTTTAACTTCTGTGTTTAAGACAAATTTAATGTCTAAATATATTTTATTTGCTGTATAACACAGAAAGCACTCAATAGAGAGATGTTGAGACTGAATTTTTTAATATGCTGATCTCTATTTTCTAACTTTCTATACTGATTAAATTTTATAATCTGTATTCATCAGAGCGTAGGCCATACAAATGAATTTATAGACATTTTTCTTTGACATCCTAGACAAAAATAGAAAAGAGAGTCATTAAAAAAAAAATGTAGGTTGTGTGTGGTGCTTCACACCTGTAATCCCAGCGCTTTGGAAGGCCAAGGCGAGAGGATCGCTTGAGCCCAGGAGTTCGAGACCAGCCTGGGCAAAATGGATGAAACCCTGTCTCTACAAAAAATGAAAAATTAGCCAAGTGTGGTTTTCATGTGCACCTGTGGTCCCAGCTACTTGGTGGGGATAAGGTGGGAGGATCACTTGAGCCTGGGAGATTGAAGCTACAGCGTGTGCCACGGCAGTCCGGCCTGGGTGACAGAGCAGAACCCCATCTCAAGTAAAAAAAAAAAAAAAGAGTTTAAAAAGAATGGCCTTTCTATCACAAGGTAAAAAACTGATTATTTGGGGGAGAAAAAAATGGATTTGTCTTGTAATCAGGATGTTGTTTTAAAGAAAATGCTTTTTGTTTTTCTAGGTGGACCAAACTACGAATTAACATGCTTCCTGCTACGATAATTTGTGAGCCAATTTCAGAATGCTTTGTTGCCAGTTTAATTATTGGCTGGGCAGCCCACCATGTATTCAGATGGGATATTATGGTATTTTTCATGTGTCATTGCCTGGCATGGTTTATATTTGACTACATTCAACTCAGGGGTGTCCAGGTATGTGGATAGGCATGAAAAGGTTGGCAGTCACTTGGTGGAACTAGAACTATTTGAATTTAGAAAAAGTTGAAGAAAATCTATCTGAGCCATTCTTCAGCTTCCCATTGTAGGTTAGTCTCAGGTTTGAACATCAGTTTCTCTAGTGGGATGTTGACACAAAACTTAAGTTGATTTGCAACTTTCTATTGGTTATGTAATCACTTTTATTAAGGTTCCAAAAACATGAAGTTAATTAAATCAGTGAGTATTCAAACTAATCATACATTAAGATAGCAGTTATTTTAATGCGTCTTCTAGTGACAGTTGGCATTTTCTTGAATGGTATAACATGGCAGTTAAATTACATAAGGAAGCAGACTGGATTTTACATAGTATACTTAGAAAAGTGAAATCCAATTTTTTTAACCATGTCTTTAGTTTGACAGTGAGTGAAATTTAAAAAAATTTTTTTCCATTCGTAGGGTGGCACACTGTGTTTTTCAAAACTTGATTATGCAGTCGCCTGGTTCATCCGCGAATCCATGACAATATACATTTTTTTGTCTGCATTATGGGACCCAACTATAAGCTGGAGAACTGGTCGCTACAGATTACGCTGTGGGGGTACAGCAGAGGAAATCCTAGATGTATAACTACAGCTTTGTGACTGTATATAAAGGAAAAAAGAGAAGTATTATAAATTATGTTTATATAAATGCTTTTAAAGATCTACCTTCTGTAGTTTTATCACATGTATGTTTTGGTATCTGTTCTTTAATTTATTTTGCATGGCACTTGCATCTGTGAAAAAAAAAAAAAAACACATCTGTAGTCTTGGCCAAATGATACACTTTATTTTGTGGAAGTAGAGAATCAAGAGAATTGGTTCTAGGAACCTGGGTTTGTTCTTCATTGTTGTTTATTTTTTTAAAATAAATAAATATATATATAGATGCTCTGCAACAAACACTATGACAGTATCCTTCAGTAGAGAAAGTTTCTTATTTGTGAGTACACTCTTTTAGAACATTTACGGGTGGGATGGCAGCAGCTTTGCTTTAGGGTTTAGAAGAGACTAGAAGGAATGACTATTCATGTCCAAAGTGAATGGTTTTGTGCAGTGAACAACACACGGCGAGGTACTAACTGAGAAACTTTTTCATGCTTTATGCCTACCTCTTGTAGTTGTTGCAGAGCAAATATAAATTGTAATAAGGTAGCTAGGCCTTGCAGAAACAAACAGAAAAACTTTAAAAAAAATAAATAAAAGAGCTGGAGTCTAGTATTTATATGAATCTGTGAGAGATATTTTGGTCTCACTGCAATGAACCAAAAGTGGCTGAGTTTGGTTTTTAATTGTAGCCATGTATTGAAGGCATCTTTTTGACCAACTCTTGTTGGTTCTGTCTTGAACCATTGTTAATCACTGTGCTGTAATTAGTATAGCTAAATCTTTTCCTTCCTTGCTCCTGCCCCAGCCCACCCCATCTTCCCTTAACATTTTTTCAGGGGGGGGTTGGGAGTGGTTTTGTTTTAGTGTGAGTGGATGTTTTGATAGTTGTAAGGAAAAAATGCATTTCAGACACATTTCACACATGAGCTATTTTCTTACACAGTATGTCTTATTGTTAATAAGAATGTAATTTCATGATACAAGTATTTAATATCTTTTTTAAGTCAGTAAATATTCTAGCCATCAATAAATAAATTGCAGTAGAGTATTAAGAGGGGATAAGATGAGTTTACTCTTAAAATTAATCAGTATCAAACTAAGTCTACTGTGTGTTTTTTTTTTTTTTTTTTTTTTACTATTATAGTTAGTCTAGTCTTATTTAAATTGGATTTTTGTATTCCAGTTTATGTGACAAAATAGACTAGATCAGTGCTGGTTGTAAATGCATGCTGTACCCCACTGTTTTCTCCCCATCATGCCGCTAAACTTGCTCACCAGGTTGTGCTTAACTTGTGGTGAACTGGACTTGTTTTTGTTTTTTTTTTGTTTTTTTTTTTAAAAAAAAACAAAAATGTAAGGGACAGTGCATAAGCCTTTTCTTTGTTTAGTAGTGGTGTTTGCTTTTTCTTCAGGATTGGATGGCATGTTGTCCATAGGAATGCCTACTGCAGGGCTAATACTGGCAATATGGCAGCTGTAAATTCTGAGTTACTACAGTCTCCACGTCAAAGCATAATGTGTAGCATATTAGCAATAACTACATATTTATAGAAAACACTTTTCACTCTACTGAGCCAATTCATTTCATTGTCAAATGTCTATATCCATGGTTTAAATGGCAACATATCTGTAAGTATGTATACACATTATATTTAAGCTTTTCTCTGGGCCAAACTGCTTCGTCCTGTTTTCTTTTTTTTGTTTGTTTTTTTTGTTGTTGTTTTTAGCCTTATGATGAATTTGTTTGAAGGGCATTTTCTTTATGAACAAAGGCTTGGATGCATATTCCTTTCTTTCTGTGAATGGGAATTGTTCCCTGAGGAAAGTTGCACAGTTAAACAGTCTGGTTGTGACCCACTACATGTTCTGTTTTTAATCACTATGACCTGAGTTGAACTTTGCTCACCATGTTTGTATTTGTTGGTCTGTTTAATGAAGTTTGGTTGATGCCATCCTTTGCACTGCCGAAGTGTAAACTTGTGTTATTACTTAGCTTTCTGCTGATCTCATTATGGACAGTGTAACAACAAAACCAAAATGGCTGGACAGACTTCTTGTGTTTTGTAAATATAAAATAGGACAGTTCTGTAGGTTTGTTCAGTGTGCTAGTGGAGTATTTCCTTAATGTAAAGCTTCACTTAAGCAGAGTGGTTCTTTGTTTAGCAAGCTTGGAGTGATGATAAAATGGTAAGAAATAATATAAATGTTGAAGAAAGCATCACAACAGAACTATAGGAGTCTAAATTTAATAAATAATCTTTAAAAAAAACATTGTCTAGAATATATACCATGTTTTATTATTTAAAATCATTGTCTTAAATGTTTGTTCAAAAAATAAAAATTTGAATACAATCAAAACGTTAGCAGTAGTATATTTTTTTGTTCTTTTCTTCTATATTTTTATAAATAGCGTGTTCCAGCATTCACATCAGAAGTATTAGAACAGTTCTGTCAAGTATTCCTTTTGAAAGCTTCCTTTCACCTGAGCCATAGGTAAAATGAATAAGGACATAGGCAGTCCTGTGACTTAAGTATGTCTTTTCTACCTTGGTTGCCTGTTAAAATCACCTGGAGAACTTGTAAAAAAATATATATATACACACATACACCCTGGACCCTGTACACCACAGACACATGCACACACACACCCTGGGCCCTGCCCACATAGATTTTGGTGTAATCGTTCTGGGTGAGGCCTGAGCTCTTCTACCTGTGATTCTACTGTGAGAATGGCTGGCTTGTAATGACCTTCAGAAAAGAGCCAGTGGTCCTTTGGGCCCCTCTTCCCCAGGCTCACAATTTGAACTCAGCCTTTTAGATCTTACCACTCTAATGGCTAGGAAAGGTAAATCCAAAGGAAGGAATGGAATGGCTAATTACTTGAGACCCAGATGGGAGATGAACCTTACGTGCTTTCCAAGGCCGGGTCCCTCCCAAGCTGGAGGCCTTCACAGGCCTGTTTTACCACCATCCCATGAGAAAAGAATGTTCTTAACTGGAAAACAGATCTGGAGTAGAAAGAATCTGCTATCAACTGAATATATTTGTCTCTCCATAGCTCATATGTTGAAACCTAATCCCCAATGTGAGGAGGGTCTTTCAAGGTGAGGCCTTTGGTAGGTGATCAGAGCCCTCAGGATTGCTGCTTATAAAGGAAACCCCAGAGAGCTTACTTGCCTCTTCTGGCATGTGAGGATACAGCAAAAAGGTGACCAGCTATGAACCAGGAAGTCCGCTTTTACTAGCCACTGAATCTGCCAGGGCCTTGATCTTAAACTTTCCAGTCTCCAAAACCGAGAAAGTTTTATTTATAACCCCCCCAGTCTATGGTATTCTGTTACAGGAGCCATAAGAAACTAAGACACAATCTAAAAGGGATCTGGCCCAGTAAACAAACTGATTCCTTCTCATTTGTGTACTTCTAACCCTACAGTTTAAGAAATGATCAACACAAAGTTGATCAGTATTAGAATTTCATAGCTAGGTGGATATTGAAGATCCCTCACTCTTATTTTAGAATGAAGCTGAGACACCCACGATGAGAGCTGTGATCATAGGGTTAGGTAGACGTGGCGCTGGTGGCAGAGCTGGGAGTAGCCCCTCTATCTGGTCCCAATGTGGTGTATTTCTCCACTGGATCACATTGTTTAAATTTATGCCTACATTAGCTTTAAAATTTACCTAGACCTTAAGGGGGAAAGAATATCACAGTTTTAATAACCATCTGTATCCTAACTCTCAAAAATTGTTCTAGAGAACCAGATTCAAACCTGTAGAACAAGAATGTAAATTACTATAAAGCTCATTTAAAGTGAAATGCTTTACATACATGATTGATAGAGAAGATTAATACATGCCACAAGACTGTTTTCATGAGAATGAAAATAGTTCAGACCTTTCCTTCTGAAGTTTATCAGGATCTAGTACTTGAATTATTCATTTACCCATTTCAAGTTATAGTTTATGACCACATCAACTTCATTTCGGTGAAAAGAAAGCAAACATCACAAAATGGTGAGCACCTATCTCTGCAAAGCTGCAAGGATATGTGTTTAGTTGGATAATTTGCTTTAAAAATATTGATACCTAGAAGAAAGCTTAAAATCACTATCTTAGTATTTTCTAAAAACAAAAATACATATCTTTAAGGGATCCCTGAGCAGCTAGTTGCCTAAGAACCAAAATGCGCTAAGCCTTTCACATGGCCCCTCCTCAGTTCCGGGAGAAATTGGCAGAGACTGTGGGTGTCTGGAATGGTTTCATGTGGTTGTGCTGTTTAGACTAATCATCATTTAGACATCCATGCTAATAGCATGGACTTGTAATTATCTAATTTAAACAATTTAGGGATATCATTTATTTCTCTACAGGACTGAGAGTGTCTGCACCCCTCCCCTGCTGCCTGCACACCTCCCATTGTGGTCATGCCACCTTTGTTTCCCAACCCTTGTCACCAGCCATGAAACCTCTATCATTTCCCCTCATGACTGACCAACACCAGGCCAGCCTAAGGAACATACTGGAGAAATCCAGCAGACTATTTATTGTGCAGCTCTGGAGCAGGGGAAAGGAATGGGTTAGAAGTGGTGACTTGGGAGTAATTTCCCTAGAGGTGATGGCTGAGACAGTGACTATAACCAAAGTCAAAGTGTCAGCGGGTGACAACTAAGGACAGAATCTTGGGGACCTATTTAGAGAGACAATGGAATAAAAACATCTAGGAAAAGAGGCTGCCAAACCTGGTGTTCAAATGAGCTTTTTGGTAGCTATGGGACTTTGGGAAGCTTCCTTCATCTTTCTGAGCCAAGCTTTCTTACCATGTAGAATGGAGATTTTACAGCACCTTCTGAGGTGGTAGAGATGATTCAACCAGGTCATGTACATAAGCATAGGGACAGTTAGTGCCTTTTTCCTCCAAAAGAAGAAAGAAATAGTAAAAGGAGTGCCACAGTAACCTTGGAAAGAGATTTCAAGAAGGAAGTGGTCACGGGAGGAGCCGTTGACCGTAAAGGATGGGAAGAGGCTAACTTCCCGTAGAGTTACCAGCATAGGTCTCCGCCATACTGAATTGTCTCAGATGTTGATAGATGAAGTATCTGCATGGGAGTAATACAGCTTCTTTATGAATGATTTTTCTTGTTTTACACAATGATACATTTTCTACAGTGAGAGACAAAGGGGTGGGACTTTCAAAGCCAGAAATTGCTCCTGACCCTGAGAGCACCCGTATGACTCTGATGCTAAGGAAACGTTTTAAGAAAGGCAGCTCCCAGGAGGCCAGTTCATCAGAGTGGAAGACGCAGAAGTCAGAGGCTTTAGGTTTGGCTGCATGTGAGAAAGACATGAAAGCTATGGGCACAGATATTTGGAAACTGCAACAACGATGCATTTCCACCCAAGGTCCCCGTAATACTAAGACAAAAAACAGCCTGACTTGAATTTGCGAGAAATGTCCTAAGAAGTTGGGTCAGTAAGAGATGATAAAGGGGAATTGCCCATCCCCATCTTCCAGTCTCCTGACTTTATCCTAGACCGTCTCCCAACAGCATAATCAGCATCCCAGAAGCAGCTGTGGGCACCCTAGCCCTGCCCAGTCTGTCCTTTTACATTTTGTTCTGATTCACTTGTTTTTGGTTATATTGCTTGTTTTACTTCCTGCTTTGTCTCTACATTGACTTGGAGCTTGACTTCTGACTTCAGCTTCTTTCTCTGACCCCATGTTCCTTAGCCTTACTCAAAGCCCAGGAAAAGGTGGTCCTTAATTTTCTATTCTCATTTCACATCACCATCTCCAGCCTGAGCTCTCCATCCCCAACCCAATGGCTCTCAACAGCTGACTCTTCCATGTGCAACCAGAGCTTCCTTGCTCCCATGCTGTTTCCTTGCCCTGAAAGTTTCTCTCCCTTCATCCTCACTTTCCCTGCCTATGGGGATACTCTCCTTCTTTATTGTTGGTTTTTTGCTGTTTTTTGGGGTTTTTTTTTTTTTTTGGTTTTTTGGTTTTTTGAGACAGAGTGTTACTCTGTCACCCAGGCTTGAGTGCAGTGGCGCAATCTGGGCTCACTGCAACTTCCACTTCCTGTGTTCAAGCGTGCCTCAGCCTCCTGAGTAGCCGGGATTACAGGTGTGCGCCACTACACCCAGCTAATTTTTGTATTTTTAAGGGGTTTCACACCATGTTGGCCAGGTTGATCTCAAACTCCTGTCCTCATGTGATTCCCCTGCCTCGGCCTCCCAAAGTGCTGGGATTACAGGCGTGAGCCATCACCACGCCCAGTCAAGATACTCCCCTCCTTTAAACCTCAACTCACATTCAATTCAGGACCTTTCCAGAGTGGTGTGTGCCCACATTTTGTCCCTTTCATTTTGTCAGGCATTTCACTTAGGTGTCTGCAGGTCATTTCTAGTTTTCAGGGGCCTGGACTTTGCATATCTTAGTTGTCCTTTTTTGTGCTTTTTTTCTCTTTGTACCCTTCCCTTCCCTCCAGTGCATTCACGTAATAGTCACTCAGGAAAGGTCTATTGTTGACAGTCAAGCCAGAATCAAAACATTAATTCTGGCACCAATGTCATTTAATAACCTTTTCACCCTCTCATTGTGTTAGTAAGGCGTTTGCTGTTTCATGCTCCCAACCCCCCACGCTCACTCTACTTGACTAATAGATTTCTCTACACATGAGTAAAATACTAAAATTTTGTTTTCCCCTTCTGGAATCTTCTAGTTCTGGTTTTGGGTTTTTGTTGTTTTTGTTTGTTTGTTTTTTGTTTTTTGAGACAGAGTCTGCCTCTGTCGCCCAGGCTGGAGTGCAGTGGCGTGATCTCAGCTCACTGCAACCTCCGCCTACCGGGTTCAAACGATTCTCCTGCCTCAGCCTCCTGAGTAGCTGGGATTACAGGCACCCACCACCATGCCTAATTTTCGCATTTTTAGTAGAGACGGGGTTTCGCCATGTTGGTCACGCTGGTCTCGAACTTGTGACCTTGTGATCTGCCCGCCTCGACTTCCCAAAGTGCTGGGATTACAGGCCTGAGCCACTGCACCCGGCCTGTTTTTTTTTTTTCTTAAACTTTGAGAAGCTAGCAGTTTTGGGAAGGAATCAAGAGGTGACCCTGTCAAATCTATCTCATCAACATCCTACAAGCCCACTGATTCTTGTTGTGTTTTATTTTCAAGTCACATGTTAGTTTTGGATCATAAAAATAGTACATATTTACTATAAACATGAAACATAAGAAATAAAAGCACTTCTAGGTAGCTACTCAAGAGAACTTGAAACAAAACATGTCCACATAAAAACTTGAATGTTCTTAGCAGCATTATTCATAATAGCCAAAAGGTGGAAACAACTCAAATGTCC